ACGTTTAATTAATGTAAAATTTTCCCACATTATTTTCTAACACTTGCAATTCACATTTATTTTTCGCAACAAATTATCTCTATGAATGTTTACCAACAGAGTTAATATGATTTCATGCTCATTAAATTGTTTGTAGAAATTAATTGTACCAAACTCATTAAATTGTTTGTAGAAATTAATTGTACCAAACTCATTAAATTTAGAGAATGGATCCTCTCCTGTACATTTATACATAGAGATTCTCAATTATTCATTTTCCAAAGTTAATATTTACAAGTGCTGTTCTTACTCATAGTAGAATATAATAATAATATTTGGTGAAAATAATTTAATCCACAATCATGAAAATATGGAAGCTGCTAGTAGCCCCTAGTAGTGTGACATGTTCCATGTTCTTCTTATCCTTTTGTCTTTGTTGACAAAAATATCATCATGATCATATGTATCTGTCTCCCACTATCATCACTATACATCTTTTTCTCTTTCCCATGTGATCTTCTCCACGTGATCATCTTACACTAATCACACACTGCCACCTCTCCTCCATCCCTACATACACTGCATCTTATTGCTTCCTCCACCTTTTTCCTTGATAAGATTTTGGTGCTTTCTTGTCTCATAACTCAATATAATCATTTCATGTATCTTTCTTATCATACTTCTCAGCTTTCAAGCTTAAGGGTTTATTTTTATTATATACTTTGATGCCTTCAAATTTCTGAAAACGACATGTATGCTGAGTTGGTTTTTGGTTTGGATAGGTTTGGTTTCGATACCTTCCCGATAGCAAAGTGGTATGCAAGTTGGATGTCAAGATAAGCTAACTGTTTTGCCAGGTCTATTTTTAGCATTGATTTCAGATTCTTATTCTCTGCTGATTTACATGTAACATATCTTTATTTTTACTTTTTGACAAATTTTCAGATCCAAGTTTTAGGGTATCAATTATATTATTCTTGAGATATTTTTATGTTTGAGAGAGAAAAACCATTTTGAACTTTTGTTTTTAGGTGAAGTTTAGAGTTATTGTATTATATTAAGTTTAGAGGTTTTTGGTTGAAGGTTTAGATAGAACATGGGTAGTGATAGAACCATTGTTTGGTTTAGGAGGGATCTTAGAATTGAGGATAATCCAGCCCTAGCTGCTGCTGCTAGGGATGGTTCTGTGTTTCCTGTGTTTATATGGTGTCCTAACGAGGAAGGACAGTTTTATCCGGGTCGAGTTTCGAGGTGGTGGTTGAAGCAATCTCTTACTCATTTGGACCAGTCATTGAAATCTCTTGGAGTTAGGCTTGTGTTGATTAAAACTGATAGTACTCTTAAAGCTCTTTTGGAGTGTGCAAATGCTATTCAAGCTACAAAAGTAGTGTTTAACCATCTCTATGGTAAGTAGTGTTGTTTATAAGGTAGTTACTTTGTTGTATAAATAACATTAGAGTTATGTATTGAATGTTTTTGTTAATTTTGTACTGTGATTGTTTTATTAGATCCTGTTTCACTTGTTCGCGACCACAACATCAAAGAGAAATTGGTTGAATTTGGCATATCTGTGAAAAGTTACAATGGGGATCTGTTGTATGAGCCTTGGGAGTTATATGATGAGAAGGGACATGCTTTTACAACCTTTGATCCTTTTTGGCAGAGATGCTTGCACAAGCAAATGGAACCTGTTTCACTTATTCCTCCGTGGCAGTTAATTCCTGCTAAAGGTATGCGCGTTACCATGATTTTATTGTTTCCAAATTATAATATGAATGTTAGTATCAGGTTAGTATCGTCAATAGTTCTGATTGTTCGGAGTCCGAGTGGATGAGGTAAGACTTGAAAATGTGTTTCTAAGTGATGGGTAGTACTCGCCTTATACCTGCTATCGGGCCACTCAGGTCACGGTCCAGATGTCTAGTCTGGGGCATGAGGGTGGTGTGTTCTTAGAGTTCCGATAGCATATAGTCCAATAGATCTTGGATAGTCTCTGATACACTTATACTTGCATTTTTAGTTAGGCCTTATCTCATCAAATGTGAGACTTTTTAACACTGATACGATATATAATTATGGAAACTTGCACTAATGTGATCAAATTCTTTTTCTCCCGCGGATGACAGGAAAAGTAGAGAGATGTTCAATAGAGGACCTAGGTCTTGAAAACGAGTTAGAAAAACCAAGCAATGCGTTACTAGGACGAGCATGGTCTCCAGGTTGGGGCAATGCAAACAAGGCCTTAACAGAGTTTATGGACAAGCAACTTCTTAACTACTCCAAGAATCGGCAAAAGGTTGGTGGAGACTCCACCTCACTCTTGTCCCCATATCTTCACTTTGGAGAGTTGAGTGTGAGGAAAGTTTTTCAAATGGCACGTGTGAAGCAGATCTCATGGGGAAATGAAGGCAACAGTGTTGGCAAAGAAAGTGTAACTCTTTTCCTCAGGGCCATTGGTCTTAGAGAGTATTCGCGCTATCTTTGTTTCAATTTCCCATTCACTCACGAGAGAGCACTTCTTGGTCACTTGAGTTTTTTCCCTTGGAATGCTGATCCTTCTAACTTTAAGACTTGGAGACAAGGTAGGACCGGCTATCCTTTAGTTGATGCAGGAATGAGGGAACTTTGGGCTACTGGATGGATGCATAACCGAATACGAGTAATAGTTTCCAGTTTTGCTGTGAAGATGTTGCTTCTGCCTTGGAAATGGGGAATGAAGTATTTCTGGGACACGCTTTTGGACGCAGACCTTGAATGTGATATACTAGGATGGCAGTATATCTCAGGATGCCTACCAGATGGGCACGAGCTCGAGCGCTTGGATGATCCCGAGGTTTGTCATGTTTTCCTTCATTGAAAAGTTTCAATAGTTAATTTAATCAACATAACCTGTATCACATAATAATCTGCTATACCGTTTTATTTTAATGTCACACAAGTGTTTATGTCTCAGTAGATAAACTCAAACAAGTCTATCGAATTACACCCTAAACAATGTGACTTCTCTAATTTGGTTGTCATTGTTGAGACAGATTTTAGGAGCTAAATTTGATCCAGAAGGAGAGTATGTAAGGCAATGGCTACCCGAGTTAGCAAGAATGCCGACCGAGTGGATCCATCATCCCTGGAACGCACCACTTAGTGTGCTTAGAGCATCAGGAGTTGAGTTAGGTCAAAACTATCCAAATCCAATAATCGATATAGATTTAGCCAGAGAGAAACTCACTCAAGCCATATTCAAGATGTGGGAAATTCAAGCAGCATCAAAAGCTTCTGGCTCCGAAGCAAGGGATGAAGTTGTCGTCGACAACGAAAATCAAGACATTCCAAAAGTTATCCTTAAGGACAAGGGTCCATGTGTTACTATCTCAGCTAACGATCAGAAGGTGCCTGCACTTCCGGATCCTAAGAATGAACTACCGGTTAGAAAGAGAAAGAAAGGCATGGACGAGAAGGGAAAGGAGCAGGAAAGTTCGGTAAATAATGAGAAAGATAGTAAGGTTTCAAGCCCTGACCAAGAGACTTGCTCTACAGCTGATTCTTCTGCGTGTAAGAAGCAGTGTAGTACAAGCACGTATTCGTTTTCTGTTCCGCAACAGTGTTCTTCATCGTCGAATCTAAAATGGCCATGGCAAGAACAGATTGACATGGAGCAAAGTTCAGGGAAAGATGGTAAACATGCTTATATTTTCTACTTCATTGTGATTCATAATGAGGTTTTTCTTTGACACTTTGTTGGATTTGTATGCTACTAATGATAAGAGTTACCATTTTCCATGCAGGGGCAACATGAGGTTAGGGATGTTAATCCAGTAGCAGGTGCAATCTCATGGAAAGAAAATGGTGGCATAAATGAAGTGTATTCTGTTTTCTGTGGCTATATTCTGAATAAAATGGTTCTGAAATCGAATTGAAAGAATAGCCAACAATGTATATTATTTACTTGTTCGAATGAGAAGTTCTTAAATATTCTGACAATCTTGTATACTAACTTCATTAACTAGTCTATTACACAATAAATTATTCTCACTAGGCATAAGTCATGGTGCATTTACCTTTGTCATTTCTTTAAAACTTGAGGCCTATAAAGCACAATACTGACATGTAGATGCCCTTTCGAATATGATGTGTCTGGATTACTTGATATTGAATATTCATATAATCCATTCACTATATACTGAAAATCATAGTTGAAGTCACAAGTTAGCGATGATAAAATGAAAGGCTATTGATCTTATCAAATCAGAGATAAATTAGCAGTCAGTATCACGTCGTGAGCTCCTTAATTTGTTGGTGGTGAAAATAATGAGGGGGTATATTTGCAAGGTACTCCGATTTCAAAGTAAGAGATGAAATAGAAAGAGTAAGTATAGAGAAAGTGTGTAGAAAATTGTATACTTGATTCTCGAATAAAAGAGAATATTTATAATGTGTCCCAGCGTTGGGCCAACGGTTACTTTACATTGGGTTGGTTATTTTACATTGGGTTGGATTGCAAGGTCCAATATAAGTAATGACCAGGACTTACGTGAAGGGGACCAGGACTTACGTGAAGGGCCACAACGTTCTCCTACAAAACATGGTTGTAACGACGCAAGACGCCGTTGTTGCCACTACCAGTGCTGATTTAGATTAATTTTACCAAAATCCCAAATAAACACCACCGAAAATATTATTAAGAATGTAGCAAACTATGAGTAATAGTTTCACATAATGTGTAATTTTCATTTTTTGGATATCTATACACTATACCTGTTGGTAAATCACAAATTCAATTCAACCGAGGCCTTATCTGTAGTTCTAATCTCTACTTTCCATTTTCACTGCCACCGATTCAGTTGTTATTGTTGACCAACACTTGTTAATGATCTATGTGCTGAAGGCCATAGTATCACCCTACAACACTAAGAAAAGTCTCACATGACAAACCTATATAACTACATTTTCTTCATTCTTCTTTATCATCATTAATACTAATAGTATTTCACACGTTTCTCTTTCTTCATCTCTTGTTTGTTCCAATGTCTCTCTCACCTAAACTCTTCATCTTTTTCTCCTTCCTCTCTCTCACCATCTCCATTTCCATAGCTCAAACCTCTTTCAAACCAAAAGCACTCGTTCTCCCCATCGCCAAAGACACTTCATCCTCAACACCTCAATACACAACCCAAATCAAACAAAGAACACCACTTGTCCCAATCAAACTAACTCTTGATCTTGGCGGTGGCTACTTTTGGGTCAACTGTGAAAAAACTAACCATGTCTCGTCCACCTCAAAACCAATCCTTTGCAACTCATCTCAGTGCTCCCTCTTCGGTTCACACGGTTGCAGTAGCAAAAAAATCTGTGGCAATTCACCAAGCAACACAGTAACAGGCGTCTCCACATACGGTGACATTCATTCAGATATCGTTTCAATCCGTTCCACAAATGGAAACTACTCCACTAGAGCTGTTTCTGTTCCTAACTTTCTCTTCATCTGTGGCTCAAAAGTTGTCCAAAACGGTCTTGCTAAAGGTGTCACCGGCATGGCTGGTCTTGGAAGGACTAGAGTCTCATTCCCTTCACAGCTTTCATCGGCTTTCAGTTTCAAAAACAAGTTTGCAATCTGTTTAGGATCTTCACCCAGTTCATTTCCAAATTCAAATGGTGTTCTTTTCTTTGGCGATGGACCTTATAAACTGAACAATGATGTATCAAAAGTTCTCACATTTACACCTCTTATTACAAACCCTGTTAGCACTGCTCCAAGTTCTTTCTTAGGTGAAAAATCATCCGAGTATTTCATCGGTGTGAAATCTATCAGAGTTTCTGATAAAACCGTAAAACTGAACACAACTCTTTTATCTATAAACCAAAAAGGCTTCGGCGGAACCAAAATCAGCACTGTTAATCCCTACACTGTAATGGAAACTTCAATCTATAAAGCTGTTGTTGAGGCCTTTGTGAAAGAACTAGGAGTTCCAACTGTTACACCAGTAGCACCATTTGGAACATGTTTTGCTACCAAGGATATTAGTTTTTCGAGAATGGGACCTGGTGTTCCTGGTATTGATCTTGTGTTGCAGAATGAGAATGTTAAGTGGAGTATTATTGGGGCTAATTCAATGGTTTCTATTGGTAATAGTGATGTGATTTGTTTGGGTTTTGTGGATGCTGGATCATATGGTGCAAAAGCAGATCAAGTTGGTTTTGTGGTCGGTGGTTCTCGACCAATGAGTTCGATCACTATTGGTGCACATCAATTGGAGAATAACTTGTTGCAATTTGATTTGGATAATTCAAGGCTTGGTTTTAGTTCACTGTTCTTGGAGCATGATAACTGTGAGAATTTTAATTTTACTTCTTCTGGTTAGAACTTTATGTGGTGAATAATTGATGTTCCGAAAATAAAGTATGAGCGATTAAATTCGCTTATCTCCTAGTAATAAAGTTGATGGTAGTTTGAATTATTAGACATAAACTTATTATTATTATGGATTCAAATTCTGATGCATCACTAGTTGAACTGTGTAGTTCTGCTTGTATTTGCTTTAGTGTGGATTTTGTATCTGTCTTGGCATGGCTTTATGTCTAGACACTCTTCGATTCTTAATAAATTCTGCCTTAAAAAAAAAAGCTAGTTGAACTGTTTTGCAATTGGTTTTTAAAGTGACATTCAAAAAATCTGCCTTAAAAAAATAAGCTAGTTGAACTGTTTTGGAATTGATTTTTAAAGTGAGATTTATTTTTGAATCACATCAATGGAACGGATCAGGATGGGTTTTTAATTTTTCAAATTGAAATTTGAATCTCAAAACAATCAAAGTTCTCTGTCCTAAATTTCGTCAGAGATAGAGAATTAAAACTCAAATCTATTTCAAACGGATTTGGATATCTCTGCCCCGCCATCATCTTAATAAAATCATTTTTCTAATAAATATATTATTTTTTAAAATAAAATTATATTACAAATATTAAAATAAAAAAATCTCAAAAAATTATATATACATTTCAAATATTTTTAATACTAAATCAAAATTAAAATATCAAATTATTAACTAAATATTTAATATTCTAAATTATCAAAATTAAAATATTAAAACACGTAATAAAATTAACGAGATGAATTCGGGATGTGTATTAGTGTTTTCATTATTGGACTCGTTTCCATATTTTATTATTGGTAAAAATTCAAACTCAAACCCAATCAAAGCGGGTATTCTTCGTCAAATTCGAGGCAGATTCAGATGGATATTTGTGGATATGGATTATGTTGCCATGTCTAATCTATGACGGGTCCACTGCATTGTTATAAGATGGGTATTGTTATGTTGGAACTTTAATTAATTATAGTGGGAATTGGAAACATTTGTTGACAATTAATGAGCAATAAATGAACACAAGTGAGAACTAATATAGAAGTGAATTTGAAAAGATTCATTTTAGTCCCACATTGAAGGGAATGAAAATATTAGTAGTGTTTATATATTCCAACTTTGTCTATTGGGTTGGGCCCTAAAGGGCACCCAATTTTGTGAAAGGAGTGAGGACACACCCATGACCAACAAGACACACGCGCGCGCCGCCGCCGCCGTCTGTCCGGCTCGGCTCGGTTCGGTCCGGTCTAGATGAATTATTTTTTGGACCCGAATTTATATAATTTAATTATCATTAATTAATTAATATAATTCGGTGGAAAATTAATTAATAATAAATATTAATTAATTAAGAAAATAATTGGTCAGTCAGTCCTCCACGAATTTCTCAGTCTCCCACCATTTTCTCCACTCCCCACGAATTTCTCAGTCTCCCACCATTTTCTCCACTCCCCACGAATTTCTCCCCACTCAGGTGCAGTTTGCTGCCTATAAATACAGGGTAGAAATTCAGAAGTGGGCACATCGGATTTCACAAATTCACACGAATTTTGATTTCCCTCTTCTCTTTCTCATTTCTCTTCATCTCAAAAACTCTCTTTTCTTGACTGGTTATTTTCACCAGATACTTAGACAGGTGTATTTCTAGAGCGATTCATCAGTGTGCAACTGATAATCGTAAGTTGTTTGAACGGGCTGTTTTATCCTGGAGGCGTCGTCGTAAATTCGACTGCTTTGCATAATTTGGCAGTTCGGCGAAACGTCTTAAAGAAAGCGACCTAGTACGCGACTCGTCCCGATAATTTCCTTGTGCTAAACTTTAATTTTCAGATCCGAAGAACAACAATTTAAGACGTTTTCATAACTGCCATGGCAACTGAGGAAATTATCGGTACTACTGCGGCCGCTTCGGTCTCTGACAAACCTTTCAGGTTTGAGGGTTCCAATTTCAAACGTTGGCAAGCTAAGATGAAATTTTTCTTAACTCTGAAAAAGGTTGCCCACGTTCTGACTGAGGATATCCCGGTTGTCCCTTCTGCATCATCTGAACTACCTAACGGTAACTCACTTGCAGATTCAGACGGGACTTCCAAAATATCTGACTCAGATGCTGCAAAAGCTAAGGCTGCAGCAGATGATCTACAACTCCGAAAAGAAATCGCCTTATGGCACGAGAATGATTATCTGTGCAAAAATCACATTCTGAACAGCCTTGCTGATGATCTGTACGACTACTACAGTAGCTACAGGACTGCTAAACAAGTTTGGGAGGCTCTGCAAAGAAAATATGATACTGAAGAAGCAGGTGCGAAGAAATTTGCTGTCAGCCGCTACTTGAACTACAAGATGGTGGATGAGAAGTCGGTGGAAGCTCAAAGCCACGAAATACAAAAGATTGCTCATGAGATCATTACAGAAGGTATGCCCCTCAATGAACAATTTCAAATTGCTGTAATTATTGACAAACTGCCCCCTGGTTGGAAAGATTTCAAAAATGTGCTTCGTCACAAAACAAAAGAATTTTCAATCGAGAGTCTGATAACTCGCCTCGGAATTGAAGAGGAGGCTCGGAAACAAGATCAGAAAGAAGAAGTCTTAGTTGTGTCTAACAACAAAAAGAAATTCGGTGCGGTTCTGAAGCCTACGGGCAAACCTTTAAAGAATCAGAACCGCAATGCTATGAACCGAACTAAGAATGGGAATCCCTCTAGGGCCCCATCGGCTCCATTTGCTAAGCAACAACCACCACCTCAAAGAAATGATGCTCCGGTTTTCACTTGCTATAATTGTGGGAAACCGGGCCATATGGCAAAGAAATGTAGGAGCAGGCCTAAACCTGCAGCTGGCTCAAATGCTCAGGTCAACCTGACTGATGAGCAACTCATTGCCATGATCACTGAAATCAACATGGTTGGTGGAAGTGATGGTTGGTGGATAGACACTGGCGCCACTCGTCATGTCTGCTATGATCGTGCTATGTTCAAGACATACATGAATGCTGAAGATAAGAAAGTGTTGTTGGGAGATGCTCACACCACTAATGTTGCTGGAATTGGAGATGTTGAGCTGAAGTTCACCTCAGGAAAGACTTTGATCTTGAAGGACGTCATGCATGTTCCTGAAATTAGGAAGAATCTTGTTTCTGGTTTTCTTTTGAATAAGGCTGGGTTTAGTCAAACTTTAGGGGCAGATTTGTACACCATCACTAAGAATGGTATTTTTGTTGGAAAAGGGTACGCCACTAATGGCATGTTTAAGTTGAATGTTGATTTGAATAAAATTTCTCCTTCTGTTTACTCTGTGTGTGACTTCAATATTTGGCATGGTAGACTTTGTCACGTTAATAAACGAATCCTTTCTAATGCAAGCAACATAGGCCTAATCCCTAAACTAAATGTTAATGATTCCAATAAATGTGAATTTCGCAGTCAAGCTAAAATAACAAAAACTTCACATAAGTCAATTATAAAAGAATCTGACCCCCTAGATCTTATACACTCTGATATATGTGAATTAGATGGAAGTTTAACTAGAAATAATAAACGTTATTTTATCACTTTTATTGACGATTGCTTTGATTATACTTATGTATATCTAATGAAGAATAAAAGTGAAGCGCTTGACATGTTTAAGGTGTATGTAACTTAAATTGAGAATCAATTTAACAAGAAGATTAAGAGACTTCGCAGTGATAGGGGAACCGAATATGACTCCAGCTTGTTTAATGATTTTTATGCTGAACATGGTATTATACATGAAACGACTGCTCCATACTCTCCTGAAATGAATGGTAAAGCAGAAAGAAAGAATAGGACTCTTACTGAACTTGTAGTTGCAATCATGTTGAATTCTGGTGCTGCACCTCACTGGTGGGGGAAATTTTATTGACTGTTTGCTATGTCCTGAATAAAGTTCCAAAGTCAAAAAGTAAGATCTCACCCTATGAGATATTAAAGAAAAGACAACCAAATTTGTCTTATTTAAGAACTTGGGGCTGTTTGGCTTATGTCAGAATTCCGGATCCGAAACGAGTTAAACTCGCTAGTAGAGCCTATGAATGTGTTTTCATTGGGTATGCAGCAAATAGTAAGGCATACAGGTTTTATGACCTAACTGCCAGAGTAATTATAGAATCAAACGATGTTGAATTCTTTGAAGACAAATTTCCTTTCAAATCGAGAAATAGTGGGGGCACACAATTGAGTCACATTCCTGTGATAAAAGGCACTGAAAGCAGCGACAATGTAGAAACAGAGCTTCGAAGAAGTAAAAGAGCAAGAGTTGCTAAAGACTATGGGCCCGATTATGCGGCCTATAATGTAGAAGAAGATCCGATAAATCTTCAAGAAGCACTGCCATCTATGGATGCAGACTTATGGCAAGAAGCCATTAATGATGAGATAGATTCTCTAGAATCTAACAAGACCTGGCACTTAGTAAACTTACCTCCGGGTTGCAAACCAATTGGTTGTAAATGGGTTTTGAAAAAGAAACTAAAACCTGATGGAACGATTGAGAAATACAAGGCTCGCCTTGTAGCCAAGGGTTTTAGACAAAGAGAAAATATAGATTTCTTCGACACCTTTTCTCCGGTCACTAGAATTACATCCATTAGGGTACTCATTTCAATAGCAGCTATTTATAACTTAATAGTACACCAAATGGATGTTAAAACAGCTTTTTTAAACGGTGACTTAGAAGAAGAAATCTATATGGAACAGCCAGAAGGATTTGTAATCCAAGGACAAGAAAGCAAGGTCTGTAAGTTAGATAAGTCTTTGTATGGACTAAAACAAGCCCCTAAACAATGGCATGAAAAGTTTGATAACCTAATGATAATTAATGGGTACAAAGTGAATGAAAGTGACAAGTGCGTCTATTACAAATCTGAGAATCGCATTTGTACTATCATATGTCTATATGTAGACGATCTACTTATATTTGGATCAAACATTCAGGCCATTAATGATATGAAATCATTGTTATGCAATAACTTT